TTCTCCCCTCCGTCAGGTCGACATGCTGAAGCTGCTTTCTCTCCTGCGTCTCTGCGGTAAGACATATTAACATTTATGATCAGATATCCTCCAGATCACATGAAACATTCTAAAGGCAGGATTTCACTCCATGTGTTGAAAACAGAAAGGTCTTATTTCCGCCTCATTGAAAGTTGAGAGGACTTGAGTTCCTTGCCGTAGTTAGTTCTGTTTCGTCTAAAGGTCTTTGCTGTTTCTCTTTGTTTAGAAGGAGGTTCTCTTTATCTCCTTGTAGCCCACTGTACAGAACCTTTTCAGTTTGCCCACATCATAAACCCGTGAAATAGTGTGAGTGCAGTCGGATTCTCAAAGCACTGCAGTGTCTCCTCCGGAGGATTCCTCCTAACCACTATTCCTTAGCCCCAGACGTTCCTCAGAGGTTAAGGAAAAGACGAGAGGAGGACATTTCATCACTCCCTGATTCTGTCTGTGTGTGTGTTTCCTCAGTGTGTGCGGCGGCCTTGCTGGTGCAGACCCCCCCCTCTGTGAGAGTGACCCCGGGGTCAGAGGTCACCCTGATCTGTGACATCACTGAGATGGGGGGGTCCTGCTCTCAGGTGGTGTGGCTTCGTGTGGGCCAGGTGAGCTGGATGAACTTGAGGAAGAAGTATTCTTCTCAGAACGAGACGGTGTGTCAGCTGCAGATCTCCAGCGCCGCCCTGCAGGATGCCGGCAGGTACTACTGCGTCTTCATCAACGGGCCGATGCTGCTGGGGGGGGCCGGCTCCACCCTCTCCGTCACAGGTGAAGCAAGAGGAGTCCTTCTACAGATTCACAAGCAGGGTCTACAGGCTGGGGTTACTCTGTGGTCAATCAGGCCTGTGTTGCAGACAGGACAGACCTCGAGGGGGACAGACCTATCTGCAGGCCGGAAGTTAATCATCATGCCGAGTAGCTCCAGTGTATGAGAATCTGAAGTCCCAGGCTCCTCCAACCAGGCAACATGAATATATGACATACAACTAAAAATAAACAAATAGTGCAGGAGAATGTTGCAAAACTAATGTGCAGGGGATGCAGGAGGAGTGAACGCTGTGTGCAAGTTAGAGAGAATGAGATGAAATGTGGTTTGTGATATAAACACAGCTTATTGTGCTGAAGATGAAACCCCCATAACAGTGTGTTTCTGTCACTGTGCTGATGAAACATGAACTTCCTGTGCAGACTCGGTGCAGCAGAGTCCGGCCGTGGACCTCCTGCTTCCTGCAGACCAGCACCTCGCGCCCCCCCTCCCGGTGCCGCTGGTGTGTGTTGCGTCGGGGCTGGAGGACCCGGGTCGGGCCAGGCTAGACTGGGAGCTAGACGGGGAGGGCGAGACTCTATGTCCCAGAACCCTCTCTGAAGGAGAGGCAGGGGTCCTCAGCGTCCGGGTGGAGGTTCCTGCAGAGATCTGGGCCGGGGGGGTGGAGGTTTCCTGCATTCTGACGGACGGAGAGCTGGAGATCCGGAAGACCGTCAGCCGGACCAACCGTGAGTACCCTGTTCGTTCAACAAAAGCAGGTTCCTGAAAAATACGTTCTGTAGATTTGCTTATTGGGCCTCAATCAGGCAGGAACAAGAGCAGGAACACGAGCAGGAACAAGAGAACAAGAGCAGGAACAAGAGCAGGAACAAGAGAACAAGAGCAGGAACAAGAGAACAAGAGAACAAGAGCAGGAACAAGAAAACAAGAGCAGGAACAAGAGAACAAGAGCAGGAACAAGAGAACAAGAGCAGGAACAAGAGCAGGAACAAGAGAACAAGAGCAGGAACAAGAGCAGGAACACGAGAACAAGAGCAAGGAACAAGAGCAGGAACAAGAGCAGGAACAAGAGAACAAGAGCAGGAACAAGAGAACAAGAGCAGGAACAAGAGCAGGAACACGAGCAGGAACAAGAGAACAAGAGCAGGAACAAGAGCAGGAACAAGAGAACAAGAAAGAACACAAGAGAACAAGAGCAGGAACAAGAGCAGGAACACGAGAACAAGAGCAGGAACAAGAGCAGGAACAAGAGAACAAGAGCAGGAACAAGAGCAGGAACACGAGCAGGAACAAGAGAACAAGAGCAGGAACAAGAGCAGGAACAAGAGAACAAGAGCAGAAACAAGAGAACAAGAGCAGGAACAAGAGCAGGAACACGAGCAGGAACAAGAGAACAAGAGCAGGAAACAAGAGCAGGAACAAGAGAACAAGAGCAGGAACAAGAGCAGGAACACGAGCAGGAACAAGAGAACAAGAGCAGGAACAAGAGAACAAGAGCAGGAACAAGAAAACAAGAGCAGGAACAAGAGCAGGAACAAGAGAACAAGAGCAGGAACAAGAGCAGGAACAAGAGAACAAGAGCAGGAACAAGAGAACAAGAGCAGGAACAAGAGCAGGAACAAGAGAACAAGAGCAGGAACAAGAGCAGGAACAAGAGAACAAGAGCAGGAACAAGAGCAGGAACACGAGCAGGAACAAGAGAACAAGAGCAGGAACAAGAGCAGGAACAAGAGAACAAGAGCAGGAACAAGAGCAGGAACAAGAGAACAAGAGCAGGAACAAGAGCAGGAACAAGAGAACAAGAGCAGAAACAAGAGAACAAGAGCAGGAACAAGAGCAGGAACACGAGCAGGAACAAGAGAACAAGAGCAGGAACAAGAGAACAAGAGCAGGAACAAGAAAACAAGAGCAGGA